CACCCAACAGAAATACAGTACTTTTGAAAAAGAGGCTCTCGCTCTTGTTATCAGCCTTAAAAAATTCCAAAAATTCTTGATAGGAAAGGAATTCATTATTCTGACTGATAACTTAGGCCTGACAAAATTGTTAACAATGGATGCAACAAATAACGCAAGAGTATACAGATGGGCGTTATTATTATCCCAATTTCAGTTCAAGATAGAACACATTAAGGGCATTGAAAACCATCTACCCGACGTGATGTCCAGATTATAAACATAGATTCAATTTTGTATTGTATGTATTACCTGGGGAAATCCTGAATTACAGGAAAGAGTATGGTTGAATGAATGAAATATGTAAACATAGCTTAACTGATGATTTTTATGTATGTTACATTTGTAAGTAAGTAACAATATACGTGTGACAATGGTGACTATAATGAGGAGAATGATGATGACGATGAGATGAATATGATGACAATAACGCTGATAACGACAACAACAATGATGATGATGATGATGATGATGATGATGATGATAACGATGATGATGATGACAATAATGATGATGATTATGACAATGAAGATGTTACAGCATGTTGAAATAGGGTTTAATAATGATTACATATGTTGTTTAGATAAATTTATTGGTGAAAATATAGGTTGTAAAACATGTAATAGGGTAATTACTATGATATAGAAAGGGAATAACAATACTTTTTCGGAAAAGTAATGGGTAATTTACGCCATATAATCCAAGGGATTGAGTTCGAAATCCTAAATAGGGAAACATATGTTTCTAATTGAAACGTAAACCAGTGACAGTAGCCATGAGTCCAACGGTGAGGGTGGGACTTTGCGGGTTTTCTACATTTCTGTTCCATAGCCGATATGGACTTCAGTACTTGAAAGAGAGTACCAGAATTGTTGTTCTGTTTTATACAGACTGTGGGATGGCATGGGGTTAATACGCAGAGCCTATATGGACTACCACACTTGGAAGAGAGTGCCTGAATGGTTGTTTCCCATTAAGCCACTTGGTACTTATTGGTACTTATAACTGGTAATGTGACAAAGGGAAATAATGTAAAACCTATCAAAAGGGAAGTAACCATTAAAACCCAAAATGATTATTAGGTAATCCACATCATTACATTAAAGTATTCCCAAACCTTTAAAATTATAACCTAAAGATAAAGTAATAGAAAAAAAAAAATTTTAAGGTTAATTTTTTTTTTACTAGAAGGGAGGGGGAGATTGTAATGTTGTGAATTCCCGGGGAAACCCCAGAGAGTTCCCGATGGGGAGAAAAAGGTCGGAGGACCCGTGAGAGAAGAGAAAAACGGGAGAAGTGAGTCTCGTGTGTCTCATGGTAAACGAAGTGAGAGACACAAGAAAAGCATGAGACGTGAACGGAAGACGTGAACCGAGAGACTGAAGTAAGACAGTTGAAGTTCTGCCCTGACTGAGAGAGGACGCGTGAATGAACGCCTGAGAAGAATAAATGATTTGTGAAGTGAACGTTATATTTCAATAGGAGGACTGAATGTTTTTCCATACGTCGTAATGTCAGATATCAGAGTCCATGAAGTATAGATGGATGGTTCGAGAGACGCTGATAAATTCCTGAGTGTGTGGGAAGTCCGACCAGGTCGCTAGATTCAGCCAAGCAAGTCGAGCACGAGGAAGCATGAATGTATGTTTGCGATAACTGGCGATTCAACGAATAAAAGCAAAGAACTCAATATTCGTTCATGCTGTGTCGTTTCAACTCACTGTTCGTCTGAAAGATGATGGTATGATATAAGACTTGAAATTCAGCAGACTATAGTTTCGACTGATGGTATGCTATAAGACTTCAAATCCAGCAGACTACAGTCTTGACTGGTGGTATGATTTAAGACTTCAAATCGAATCTTTCTCTTCTTCACTTCCTTGTTACCGTTTCGGGTGTCAAGGGAGATATAAGGTTCCGCTTCTTGCTCGTATGGCCGCTTCGACCTCAGACACATCGCGCAGTTTTAGAGTTTCTCTTTTGTTATCTTTCTGTCTTGTTGTTGGTCTACCTTGTGCTTTTCGCCTATCTTCTCTTTTGTGTACACCTTTTATGGTATGGAGTGTCAAGGCTTTCTCTCAAAGTGGACAAACCACATTATGTTTGTATGTCATTTAGAATTGATTCTGAGCCGATGTTTTTTTTATTTAAAAAAATTTTATGACGTGTTTTCTGATTTTATCTCTACTGCAGGAATTCTCATACATCTCATTGGTGGGATCACAAGTCTTCTATTACGGTTTGTTGTGAATGACCACGTTTGGCACTGGCAGCATAGAGTGAAAATGAATTTACTTTGTTTGAGATGTTTCTTTGTGCTAACGTGGACTGTCTTATGCTGGGGTGGGGATTGGGGGGGGGGGGAGTTAACTGTCTCAGTGCTACAACGCTAATGGTTCTTTTTATTTTATTTTATTTCAAGTAATGTTTATGCAATCAAAACAGTGATGTTACATTACGATAATATAACTTATTTACGAAATGACTAAATAATCTGGTCAGAAAATCCAGCATTTGTTGATTGCCTTTTTGTCAATGCAATCTGCATAGGCAGAAAACTCTTGATACTGTCTATCCTGAAGTGAAATACATTTGTCTTCAGTCAACGGTCTCACCATCGGTTCTGTTGGTGGGTGAAGTCGAGAACCCACATAGCTCTGATGTGTCTCATAACCTCTGAAAGGCGATCAGCTCTGGCTGATTCTTTGTACTTGATTATTTGTGAGTTTCATAAACTGATTGCAGGTTATGGGACCTCACTTCGGGAACACCGACACACAAAGAACACCAGGAAGCTGGGGGAGGCTGGAGGTGGCGGGGAGGGGCAGCAAAGTACTAGCGCCCCTGCTTCACGTTTACCTTCTCTAACTCTGTAGGCACCGACGATATGTCAGTGCTAGAACTGATACATGTCGTCACCGCCACCAGTTCTAGATCGCTTAGAATCTTGCATATGAGCAAGCAAATCTTATTACAGTTGGTGTTGATCAATTGTCTTTTATCTTTAACATATGCTCTATAGGACGTACTTCAAATTAAAACACGAAAAGTGTGACAGAAATTACAGTAACCATGCTATTATTTCGTAACTTGCCAAAATTGTTTTTGTAAGGATGTCAAGAGTGCTAGGCTCATGACCTTACTGTGCAGATGAACACGGTGACGTCATAATGATAATTTGAAGACAGCCGCCCCACTTTTGACATGCATCAAAGAGAAGCAGCATTCTGTTATCCGTTTTTTTTTTAAATAGTGAAATAGTGAAATCTATCGAGTCTGATGTCACTATTCACAGAACAGTGTCACAGAGAGACTTTCATGCGTACCAAGACGAGAGTAATGTTATGTAAAGGATCTGCTGATTAATGAAAATGATAAAGGACAAAGGAAGTCAACTAACAAAGAACTGATTTCCTCGGGTGTTATACTCAGAGGACAGTGTAATATTGTGCTATAAGGAAGCATGGGACTTATAGCCCATGGCGATGGCGAGTGTGACTAGCAAGACCTGCTTGTGCAAAGAACAGTCTTCCACGATTAGAACGTGTGATATCAGTACTCTAGTTACGATAGCATATGTTTAATGCTGTTGTGTGCAATATATGGTTATATGGAAGGGAAATTCATTATTGAAGGTAAACACTTGGTGCGGTGCAGGACACATTGAACGCAATGTGAAGAGAGAGAAAAACGGTTGGCTCCAAGTCCCCGGAGAGGAAGGATGCGGTGATGTAGGTTCTAGTCTGGGTGTTGTCAGACTAGTCCTGCACACCCGCATGTTACGCTGGCGTTAGGCATACAGACTATCGGCGAGAGATGCCACAGAGGCCGGGCCAGCGTGATAGAAGCTCGTATGGTGAGATGGGAGATCTCAAGTACGTGTCAGGCCACAGACGGAAGGTCTGGATAATCTTCACAAGGTATTGTGCATCGGCCTGTATGATCTTTCTAGTGACAGTGTACCCAAGGGATGGGTGTCATAGAGACAGACATGTACTTACGAGCAGTGGGTTTGCACGAGCAGGTAATGTTTGCTCGTTGTTGATCACGGAACAGGGTGGCAGTAGAAGTAGCCCAGAGCGTCCGGAGTGTGTGTTGCCTTGCCAGTAGGAATGACTGTGGCAGTATAGAAATTCATGTGGATTCATTGTTTTGGTTTTGAAATACATTAATTATATTTTGACGTTCAACATGTATCCAGCGTCCTTTATTGCTGTTGGGCGGGAGTGGTGACTTTGATCTGTAACACTATTAAGCATACCTGGATACTTGGCAAGTGTGTGGTGCATCAAGCGAGCATTTCGCACGCCTCAAATGCGCTTCTTCACAAACGTTAGCAATAAACCTGTTTGCAGTCATCTTCTCCTGTACTGCACACCCATTCTTGATTTCATCCCTTAGTTCAACACGGGGCATTGCATCCTGTCTCTATGAATCCACATGCATCAGTCATGTTCCGCTTGCACACTTTAATATCGAAGTAAATGTAGAATTTGTTCCCCTTGCACACTTTAATATCGAAGTAAATGTAGAATTTGTTCCCCTTGCACACTTTAATATCGAAGTAAATGTAGACTTTGACTTCTTCTATCCATCTGTAGATCCCATAGAGGATGTCCTTAGAGACTCTTACAGTCTCCCAAGTTTGGCCTAGCCAACTGAACCTGCGAAGACTAGGCTCTGAGAAAACTGATATCAGTACTTTCCAGTACCTCGGCGTTTGTGATTTTTATCTAGCCACCGGATACCAACAGCCATTTATTTTAACTTATTTGACTTGGAAAAAAAAAAATATAACAGCCCTTCGGCAATAGTGAAATCTTTAAAGTGATTAGAAATAAACGGAGACACTCACGCTTTTGTGGGACACTTAAGACAATTTTTAACGCAGCTTGGTGACAACTGAAACATGTGAGGAGAAAGAAGTCAGTGAGAAGATAAAACAGAACAAAATAACTAACCTGGCATAACGGATATTGTCTTGAGGGCTCTTAGGACACGGAATGTTCGTAAAGGGGTGAAGTTGCCGATAGTTGTTACAGCCATTGTCAAGTACCTGAAACAAATAAGACAGTTATGAATTAATCAAAGTAATTAAATGACCCTTTGTCAAGTTCCCGTTTGTGATGTGTTGAACATCACGCTGGGCAAATAGGGCTGGAGTCCGTATGTGATGTGTTGAACATCACGCCGGGCATATAGGGCTGGAGTCCGTGTGTGATGTGTTGAACATCACGCCAGGCATATAGGGCTAGACTCCGTGTGTGATGTGTTGAACATCACGCCGGGCATATAGGGCTGGAGTCCGTGTGTGATGTGTTGAACATCACGCCGGGCATATAGGGCTGGAGTCCGTGTGTGATGTGTTGAACATCACGCAAGGCATATAGGACTGGAGTCCGTGTGTGATGTGTTGAACATCACGCCGGGCATATAGGGCTGGAGTCCGTGTGTGATGTGTTGAACATCACGCCGGGCATATAGGGTTGGACTCCGTGTGTGATGTGTTGAACATCACGCCGGGCATATAGGGCTGGAGTCCGTGTGTGATGTGTTGAACATCACGCTGGGCACATAGGGTTGGACTCCGTGTGTGATGTGTTGAACATCACGCCGGGCATATAGGGCTGGAGTCCGTGTGTGATGTGTTGAACATCACGCCGGGCATATAGGGTTGGACTCCGTGTGTGATGTGTTGAACATCACGCCGGGCATATATGGCTGGAGTCCGTGTGTGATGTGTTGAACATCACGCCGGGCATATAGGGCTGGAGTCCGTGTGTGATGTGTTGAACATCACGCCGGGCATATAGGGTTGGACTCCGTGTGTGATGTGTTGAACATCACGCCGGGCATATAGGGCTGGAGTCCAAGTGTGATGTGTGTTGAACATCACGCCGGGCATTTAGGGCTGGAGTCCGTGTGTGATGTGTTGAACATCACGCCGGGCATATAGGGTTGGACTCCGTGTGTGATGTGTTGAACATCACGCCGGGCATATATGGCTGGAGTCCGTGTGTGATGTGTTGAACATCACGCCGGGCATATAGGGCTGGAGTCCGTGTGTGATGTGTTGAACATCACGCCGGGCATATAGGGTTGGACTCCGTGTGTGATGTGTTGAACATCACGCCGGGCATATAGGGCTGGAGTCCAAGTGTGATGTGTTGAACATCACGCCGGGCATTTAGGGCTGGAGTCCGTGTGTGATGTGTTGAACATCACGCCGGGCATATAGGGTTGGACTCCGTGTGTGATGTGTTGAAGATCACGCCGGGCATATAGGGCTGGAGTCCGTGTGTGATTTTTTAACATCACGCCGGCCATATAGGACTGGAGTCCGTGTGTGATGTGTTGAAGATCACGCCGGGCATATAGGGTTGGACTCCGTGTGTGATGTGTTGAAGATCACGCCGGGCATATAGGGCTAGACTTCGTGTGTGATGTGTTGAAAATCACGCCGGGCATATATGGCTAGAGTCCGTGTGTGATGTAGTCAATATAAGGAACTAACGCCACGAAATATGTGAGCTCTATCCTGTGAACAAACCGTGTACAACACACAAGGAACTCACGCCACGAGATATGTGAGCTCTATCCTGTGAACAAACCGTGTACAACACACAAGGAACTCACGCCACGAGATATGTGACCTCTATCCTGTGAACGGACAATGTACAATACACAAGGAACTCACGCCACGAGATATGCGACCTCTATCATGTGAACGGACAATGTACAACACACAAGGAACTCAGGCCATGAAATATGTGACCTCTATCACGTGAACGGACAATATACAACACACAAGGAACTCATGCCACTAGATATGTGAGCTGTATCCTGTGAACAGACAGTGTACAACACACAAGGAACTCACGCCACGAGATATGTGACCTCTATCATGTGAACGGACAGTGTACAACACACAAATAACTCACGCCACGAGATATGTGACCTCTATCCTGTGAACGGACAATGTACAACACACAGGGAATTCACGCCACGAGATATGTGACCTCTATCCTGTGAAAGGACAATGTACAACACACAAGGAACTCACGCCACGAGATATGTGAGCTCTATCAAGTGAACGGACAGTGTACAACACACAAGGAACTCACGCTTCGAGATATGTGACCTCTATCCTGTGAAAGGACAATGTACAACACACAAGGAACTCACGAGATATGTGACTCTATCCTGTGAAAGGACAATGTACAACACACAAGGAACTCACAAGATATGTGACCTCTATCGTGTTAACGAACAGTTTACAACACACAAGGAACTTACGCCATGCTGACGACAACGAAATCCAGCCAGTTCCAGGGATCCCTGAGGTAAGTAAACGGCTGAAGCACGAAGCCTCGACTGAGTATCTTCAGACAAGACTCTACGGTGTAGATCCCTAAGAAAATATGCCTGTGGAATAGAACCAATTAGTCATTCCGACACATTCTAGGGTCCTTTAAAAAATTGTCACTATTTACACATCTGGGGGATGGGATGGTGTCAGCGGTTACAGAACGCGTTTCACAAAATTCAGCGTACCAGAGTTTGATTTCTGTAGTTTCGCAGGCCATGACACAGCTATTGTAACTTTCATCATTTTCTGCTTCTGTGTGGTGGTCGGCACAGTGTGCTCTTTGCACTAAGTTGCGATATGTGTGCACTCCGTTTCATCTTGTCTACAAAACCTCAGTTAATCGCCTTTTACAACAAAGTCTAGAAGCAGACGAACAAACTGAAGTTCACTGCCGGTGAACGCCAAGTTGAAGAAGCCAGATCTTAGGGGCTAAAACGGCTCTTCAACGTTTCTCATGTAGCGGCGCCCCTGTTTCACTGGAAAAAGTCCCAGTGGAAGTTTACTGGTATCGATGTGCACTTGTGTTTGTCAATATGTCCCCACCTTGACATAAGTCGCACCGAATGTTCCACAATGTGTTTGACTAGTTTTTGCTAAGTAACGTATTGTTACCAACCCATACATTATAGTACATCATATTTTGTTTGATACACTAATTATATCGTGTAAAAACTTCTTTGTAAATTTTCGCTTAAAGAAAACTATTGTACCATATAACTATCAATTCTGAAACTGTTACAACACCAGGGGGGAAAACATATTAGAATTGTACAGGTGCGCCTGCAAGAAGAAAACATGTGAACTCTGATCGGGACATAGAGAGCACACTTTAACATGTTGGGTTCTCAGTTGGGTAAATGGAGCACTAAAGCAGGTTTCAGTGTGTGTCTTACAAGACTGTCTGGATTTTGTGACGAGAATTAGAATAGACAGACAGACAGGCCGACAGACAGATAGATAGATAGATAGATAGATAGATAGATAGATAGATAGATAGATAGATAGATAGATAGATAGATAGATAGATAGATAGATAGATAGATAGATAGATAGATAGATAGATAGATAGATAGATAGATAGATAGATAGATAGATAGATAGATAGATAGATAGATAGATAGATAGATAAGATAGATAAGATAGATAAGATAGATAAGATAGATAAGATAGATAGATAAGATAGATAGATAAGATAGATAGATAGATAAGATAGATAGATAAGATAGATAGATAAGATAGATAGATAGATAAGATAGATAGATAGATAGATAGATAGATAGATAGATAGATAGATAGATAGATAGATAGATAGATAGATAGATAGATAGATAGATAGATAGATAGATAGATAGATAGATAGATAGATAGATAGATAGATAGATAGATAGATAGATAGATAGATAGATAGATAGATAGATAGATAGATAGATAGATAGATAGATAGATAGATAGATAGATAGATAGATAGATAGATAGATAGATAGATAGATAGATAGATAGATAGATAGATAGATAGATAGATAGATAGATAGATAGATAGATAGATAGATAGATAGATAGATAGATAGATAGATAGATAGATAGATAGATAGATAGATAGATAGATAGATAGATTTTTTCAAAATATCAAAAAATCATGAGTTTACTCCTTGGCTCGGTACTATGGATATCGCAACCCTTCGGTTTTGATGCCATGATAGATACCGTAAATCTGGGAGAAATGTGGCTTTTCTGCCTATCCCTTGGCGTGAAAACGAACCATAAGGATTTCGTCGCCAGGTCGCCACGAAGTCAGGTTTAACCAACTACGCTAGCGAACCGAAAATAGATAGATAGATAAATAGATAGATAGAGAGAAAGAGAGAGAGAGAGAGAGAGAGAGAGAGAGAGAGAGAGAGAGAGAGAGAGAAAGGGTGGTTTTGAGAGTGCGAAGGCAAGAGGAGTGAGAGAGAATGAAGTTTCTGAAAACGGAGACGGAGGGAGAGATAAATAAAGAGAGGGAAAAGAGATAAATAAAGAGAGGGAGGATGAAGAAATAAAGAGAGGGAGGAGAGAAAAATAAAGGAAAAAAGGAGAAAACAGGGACAGAGAGCGATCGATACAGAGTGTATAGAGGGTAGGAAGGAGAGATAAAGGAAAGGGAAGGTATTTTTTTAGAAGGAAGACAGAGGTAGAGAGAAAAAAATAGAGGGGAAGAGAAATAAAAAAGAACGAAAGAGAGAGAGAAAGAGATAAAAAGAGAGAAACAAAGCGAGAAAGAAAAAGAGAGAAACAGAGCGAGAAAGAAAGAGAAAGAAAGAGAGAGAAAGAGAGAGAAAGAACGAGAAAGAGAGAGAAGGAGAGAGACAGAGGGAGAAAAAAAGAGAGAAAGAGAAAGAAAGAGAAGGAAAGAGACAGAGGAACGGGGGGGGGAAGAGGGAAAGAGAGAGAGAGAGAGAGAGAGAGAGAGAGAGAGAGAGAGAGAGAGAGAGAGAGAGAGAGAGAGAGAGAGAGAGAGAGAAAACCTAGCACACAGAAGTGACCCCCTATAAATTCAAGAATAGCAGTGTGCAGTTCCCTCTTCGGCTACTTATTCTCCCTTCTCCCAATTCTCTTATGTGCAGTGATGAACCGGCCCCACATAGTCTAAGAAAACAACATTCGGCGGATGGTCATACACCAGCCGTCTTTATTTCCCAGAACATTTCCTACTACAAACTTTAAACTAGACCGACCTTTGAGTTCAGGTTAATTAAACAAAAATCTGCCTTTACTTAGATTTGACTCTCTGGGCACCGGACCTGTATATGGGAATGCTATCCGCTGCTCCGCCAAGGCTCCCGAGGTACAAGGTGACCTTGTAATAATTATCAGTGCCTGAAAATCGCCTGAGTGACAGACAGGCAGGTATGGAGGGCCTGCAATTTAATCAGCTCATTTGTAGGCATTACAATCTGGCATGTTTTCGCGAGAGCTTACTGAGAAATCAATACAAGGCTGGAGACAGACAGCGCTGCGGATGTTTGCAATCATATCTATCAATATTTTGACAGGCAGTGTGGAATTACAGGCTATCATATAATAGTATTATGTCACACATACTCTCTCTCTCTCTCGCTCTCTTGACAGGCTATCATATAAAAGTATTATGTCGCTCTCTCTCTCTCTCTCTCTCTCACTCGCTCGCTCGCTCACACACACACACACAGTTCTAGAACTAGGATATAATATATTAGTTTTATTATTCAAACTTTTGGAACTCTAGGTGATACAATAATAGCTCTATATTTCACACACACACACACGCGAACGCGTGCGCATCAGAGTCTGGTATATATTATTCATATGCCTCCCTCCCCATTTCCGCCATACAAACAGGTATAAGACTCTAATCTGTAATATCATAGGGTTTTCTGGTCACACGCACACACGTATAAGACTGTATAATATAAAGGTTGTGTGTCTTTCCTCTCTCTCTCTCTCTCTCTCTCTCTCTCCCTATCTTCTTTCTCTCTCTCTATTTCTTTCTCTCTCTCTCTCTCTCTCTCTCTCTCTCTCTCTCTATCTTCCTATATTTATATATATTTATATGTCACAGTTAAAACACTTTAATTTATAATAGTGTATTTGTCTCTCCCCTTCCTTTTTTTCTATCTCTTACACGCACCTCAACATAAGAAGGAAGTCGCTTCACTGTATGCACACTCAGATTAGATCCACGTTGTTTTCTCTCTCATCTATTCTCTTTTTCGTGGGGATCTGAGCGTTTGCAAATATTTGTGAAGGCTTTATTGACATTCAGGTTCTCTCCCCAAATTCATACACAAACACACTCACACACACACGCGCATATTAACTACTTCCTTTATAAACTGTCCTTCCATCATCATCATCATCATCATCATAAACATTTGCTCTAACAATGACCACAGGCGTTTACATTTCCCTGTGTCACGACGTCAAAGAAACGTGAACAAGGTCAGTAACCTTTCCTCGCCCCATCCACACAGTCGAGCCATCCCGGTATTTATCTTTGCCTTCTTCTTGCTCTCTTTCCACCAGTCTTGCCAGCTGTCACCAAGTTCTCTAGTCCATTGCTTCTCATAAAACGTGTGATAACACTGACTGTCACGAAGTTCTCCTTATATCTATTCCTTCTTATAACATGTCTAAAAACACAGACTATCACCAAGTTCTCCTTTCTTCCATTCCTTCTTATAACATGTCTGAAAGCACAGACTATCACCAAGTTTTCCTTCCTTCCATTCCTTCTTATAACATATCTGAAAACACAGACTATCACCAAGTTTTCCTTCCTTCCATTCCTTCTTATAACATGTCTGAAAACACAGACTATCACCAAGTTTTCCTTCCTTCCATTCCTTCTTATAACATGTCTGAAAACACTGACTGTCCCCAAGTTTTCCTTCCTTCCATTCCTTCTTATAACATGTCTGAAAACACAGACAATCACCAAGTTCTCCTTCCTTCCATTCCTTCTTATAACATGTCTGAAAACACTGACAATCACCAAGTTCTCCTTCCTTCCATTCCTTCTTATAACATGTCTGAAGACACTGACAATCACCAAGTTCTCCTTTCTTCCATTCCTTCTTATAACATGTCTGAAAACACTGACAATCACCAAGTTCTCCTTCCTTCCATTCCTTCTTATAACATGTCTGAAAACACAGACTATCACCAAGTTCTCCTTCCTTCCATTCCTTCTTATAACATGTCTGAAAACACAGACTATCACCAAGTTCTCCTTCCTTCCATTCATTCTTATAACATGTCTGAAGACACTGACTATCACCAAGTTCTCCTTCCTTCCATTCCTTCTTATAACATGTCTGAAAACACAGACTGTCACCAAGTTCTCCTTCCTTCCATTCCTTCTTATAACATGTCTGAAAACACAGACTATCACCAAGTTCTCCTTCCTTCCATTCCTTCTTATAACATGTCTGAAAACACACTGTCACCAAGTTCTCCTTCCTTCCATTCCTTCTTATAACATGTCTGAAAACACTGACAATCACCAAGTTCTCCTTCCTTCCATTCCTTCTTATAACATGTCTGAAAACACAGACTATCACCAAGTTCTCCTTCCTTCCATTCCTTCTTATAACATGTCTGAAGACACTGACAATCACCAAGTTCTCCTTCCTTCCATTCCTTCTTATAACATGTCTGAAAACACTGACACTGACTGTCTGCGTGTAATCAGATTTTTTCCCCATCTTCTCGAAGAGGACAGCCACTTTCGCTTTCCTACCGTTCAACGGAATTCTCTACATCTCTGTGCCAGTGGGCATTTGTTCACCTCCTCTGCTTATTGCCCGTATCTCAAATGCGGTACATTTCCTGTTTACTCTCATTCATGCCATGGGTTTCCACCGGCTGCTCTATATTCTAGGGGTATTAGTAAATGAGGCCCTTCTCCTGTTTCGCCGTCATTACACAATGTGCGGAAAATCGTTCCAGGCCCGACACGACCAGAGAGCGCAGGTATGTTTCCGTGGCAGACGAAAGTGGGACGGGTTTTGTTGTTGTTGCTTGTTTTTGTGCGCAGTGGACTGTTCAACTAAGTTCTCTTTTCTCTGTGAACGACGTCTCTTGTTCAACCTCCGGGGGTTTGAGAAATGGTGACATTCTAGGATGGGCCCTGAAATTCATCCAGCAGTTTCAAGTTATCAGTTAGGACCGCAGTGATAGCAATGAAAAGCCAACGCACACGCAGTGTCATCGCCGCTGACGACGTGAAGAATAGAACCTACTGGTTGCTCACAACAAGTAGTATAGAACTTTTACCGCGTTGAAATAATAAAAGCTGACACCCCTACAACATTTATAGCCTGTGGGAAATGTCTGGGCCCGCAATATGCGGGCAACCTCGTGGTATGTACCCTACATGCATATAAAAAGACAGGTTCTACACATCACGTGAACACTTGTCACTATTTATTTGTATCTTTTGCATCTTGCTAAAGGTCACACTGGGCACCACAATTCTTGTTCTAACATGTGCAAAGAATCTCGCCAAAGATGTTGTGACTGTTTCAAATATCTGTGACCTTTGTGGAAGTTACTCTCTAAGGGACCCTTACTTGACTAGTGGAACAAAAAGCATCTCACACATTGAAAGTTACAGACTCAATAAGCATGCCTAAGAATATCTCGTCGGCTCTGTGGCTAAGTCGATGCGAACGCTTAGAAATGCTGGGATGCCGGGTTCGATCTCAGCTGCGGTTGCACTGTGTTGATTTCGACAGTGGTATCAAGGAAACCGACCGTCCAGCGAGCAATGGCAAACTACTGGACGTAAATTTACCTTCAAAAACCACACAACAGCCAGGGGCATCTGGGTTGGTTCTGCAGCGTCCTGTAAAGGATACGCAACTAACCTAGAAAGAAGATCCCAACCGACAAACTCAGACCAGAATGGGTTTAAAAATATCCAGAAATCCCACCTCGAGAAATTATCTTGGCAGTATAACATCGATAGACGCCGGGATGAAAGGAAATGAAAGAGGCGACAGACCCAGCCCACTGAGATGTCTTCTGCTTCGGGGGAAACTACATGAATGGGTCGGGAGTCACTGAGATGTTTGCTGCATCGCAGATACTGAGATGTCTACTGCATCGGCGGAAGGGACATCAATGGGTTGGGAGGCACTGAAATGTCTGCTGCATCAGAGGAAGGGACATCAATGGGTCCAGTGGCACTGAGATGTCTGCTGCATCGAAGACACTGAGATGTCTACTGCATCGGCGGAAGGTACATGAATGGGTAGGAAGGCACTGAGATGTTTGCTGCATCGGCGGAAGGGACATCAATGGGTCGAACCGACTATTTATGATGTCGACACGGGCAACAAGTTAACACATTAACAAGCTAATAATATCTTCTTCTTATAGTTAAATGTATTTTAACTTTTCTTCGTCTTTAACAATTTGGCATCATTTCGTTCTTTATTTACCAAATAGGAGAAACTCGTTACTTTTTCAAGTCTCCCCTGAAAAGAAAAAGACGTCTTTATTTTTTAAGTCTTCTTGCATTTACATGAAATTCTTTGACATAGAAAATTGTAGTCAAGAAATGACGGTACAAAACATCTGACACAGTGCAAATACTCACTCCACTTCTGGGGTCTGCCATGAGGGGTTGGCCATAACCACACAGTTGGCCAGAATTGTCACCATCACAACCAAACTAAAAATTGTGGGCCAGGTTAAGGAACAATTATCTAGGTAAATTAGCATTCATAAAAAACAAGTCATTTTTTATCTGGTGTACTTTCAATCAGTTCTGAATAGATGATCTTCACTTCTGTAGTCCAGTTGTGATGCGTTGGTAGTTATGTATATTCACAACCTTCTGTCTCGTACACTTTCAATCAACTTTGACACAGATGATCTTCCATAGTTAACTCCTTGAGTCCCAAGGAACGCATCATACGTTCATAGGTTCCAACCTAGAAGCCCAATGAACGCATGATGCGCCGGTTTTATGACTCTCATTACTACCCCCTGATCAACTTTGACACAGATGATCTTCCATAGTTAATGCCTTATGGCGTTTGTAGTCAAGCCTATCCACAACCTTATATCTCTAATACTTTCAGTCAACTTTGACACAGATTTATCCAGCATCTTCTTTCTGGGTCTCCCTCTGCCTCTCTTCCTCTGCAACATTCCTACTGATTTCCCACCATTCTTTCTGTAAACAACTTTCAGTCAACTTTGACACAGATTTATCCAGCATCTTCTTTCTGGGTCTCCCTCTGCTTCTCTTCCCCTGCAACATTCCTAGTTTTCCCACCATTCTTTCTGTAAACAATAACAATAACAGTAGTTGTTACGAACCCGGTGACCTAGAGAAAAGACACAAACTCTTAGTAGTTTTAATGTTAGAGAGATTATCTTTTTTGTTTTGTTTAAAAAAAAACTGATTCATTGAAAAAAGAATATCGCTGTGTGGTTTCCGGGCAGAATTTGTGGGGGGAATAGACTTCCTGCTCCCCCAACACACATGACGTAAAAGGCGACCGACTAATTAGGAGTAATGTTAGACCGACGTCTAAGAAAATGTGTATCTCCTCAAGAGGCAAGGCACCATCAATCTGTATACACATATGCCAGATTTGTAAAACGGACGTGTACGCACAACTCAAGTTCTGGAACAAAACCAAAGTACTGAAGTGGACGAACATAATTTTCCGACTGAGTTTACAGCTGGTGAACGCTAAGGGGGAGGAGGGGAACGAGTAGGAGGAGAAGAAGAAGAAGCAACTAATACACAAGTAGAAGTACAAGTAGGAATTGCAACAGCAGCAAAAGAAGAAGCAACTAATACACAAGTAGAGGTACAAGTAGGAATTGCAACAGCAGCAAAAGAAGAAGCAACTAATACACAAGTAGAAGTACAAGTAGGAATTGCAACAGCAGCAGAAGAAAAAAAGAATATCCACCGCAATAAGGTGTTGGGCAGAGCCAATGGCCTCTACTGCTTCTTGTCCCTGGCTCAATCCCTCACACTTTATAAAAACATAATGTCTTTTTGTTATTGTTAGTATAATACAATATAATAGAACTCCATACATTGAGGAAAGGGGGGGGGGTTTTAGGGGTGGGAGCTTCGTCTCATTATAAATTTAAAAAGACAGGTTGGAGGGGACTGGGGACTCCCCCCACCCCCAGTCTTTAGTGGTGCCCACATCGCCTGATCTCCTTGTCTTTGGTGTTCATGTATGCCACTTGTTGAGCCTTGAACTATTTATATCCCTATATTCCTGAAAAAAAGTAGTAAGTAAAGGTCCATTTTCCACGCCTTTAGGCCTATATTCCTAAATGTGCCACTAAAGGATATGGATGTACAAGAATGTAGATTGATATCCGGCGGATGGGGTTGAAGGGCGACAACAAGAAGATGGCGTCGGTTGCGCTGAACCGGAAAACATTCTTGTCCTTGTTGATAACGACGAATGTCTGGAGAATAGAAACACGAGACAGTAATGGACAATAAATAAACATCGAAGCCGGTCATTTATGACATTCGATATTCATTAAATGTCATATATGACCAGCGTTGTGTTCACTAAATGTCATATATGACATTTAATGAATATCGACGTTGTTCATATATGACATTTAATGAACATCAATGCTCGGCATGTATGACAACTAGTGAACAACAATGACATATCAAATCAATAATACTGTATAGAGTGGTAACATGGAGAACGAACCAACGAGCAAAATTTATTGTCAAAAGATTCGTTCTTTCATGCGTTTTATAGACGATTGAAAAAAAAAAAAGCCTGTACAGGCAACAAAAAAAAAAACAAAAAAAAAACAAACAAACAACAAGAACAACAACAACAACACACAAACACAACAACAAAGTAATGAAGACGTCTTGAAAGAGACCAGCTCACAAAGAGAACTGAGAAACCATCTACATTGTTTGGTCATGTGTGATGAGAGAAAAACTGAAGGACATCGTGACAGCAGGAAAGCTGGAGGGGAAGAAAGGCACAGGACAGCTAAATGAGCGACTAAAAAACTATATTCACTCATTAACTGGTACATGCGCAGAATTAAGGGAATTAAATGGTATGACAGAATAGAGACAATTAAATGATATGACAGAATAGAGGCAATTACATGGTATGGTGGAATAGAGGGGATTAAATAATAAGACAGAATAGAGGGAATTAAATGGTATGATAGAACAGAGGGAATTAAATGGTATGATAGAATACAGGGAATTACATGGTATGACAGAATAGAGGAAATTACACGGTATGATAAAATAGAGGGAATTACAAAGTATGAAAGAATAGAGGGAATTACAAGGTGTTATATAATAGAGGGAATTAAATGGTATGAAAAATAAAGGGAATAAAATGGTATGATAGAATAGAGGAAATTATATGGTATGATAGAAAATAGGGAATTAAATGGTATGATAGAACAGAGGGAATTAAATGGTATGATAGAACAGAGGGAATTAAATGGTGTGACAGAATACAGGGAATTACATGGTATGACAGAATAGAGGAAATTACATGGTATGATAAAATAGAGGGAATTACAAAGTATGAAAGAATAGAGGGAATTACAAGGTGTTATAGAATAGAGGGAATTAAATTCTAAAAAAAAAAATAAAGTGAATTAAATGGTATGATAGAATAGAGGGAATTACATGGTATGACAGAATTACTAATAAAGAGCTTTGAGAAGGAAGTAAACGATGTCCAGTGAGTCCAAGATGTGAAGGAAGAAAACGAAGCATTGGATACGACACGTTGAAGAAAACTACTATAACTAGAATGTCTTCACGGAAGCCCACAGGCACACAAGAATAAAGGAAAGGCTGACGACAATACCCACAGAAAAGGGATTAGAGAGTGAACTTAAACAGATGGGAGATGACTTGGGTGAGCTGTGTGCGATAGCGAAGCTTAGGACGACGGGATGAGTTGGTTGGAGGCCTATGCTCCATTGGGAGATAGCGGACAGAATAAGTGGAATGTGGGTCATATATGACATTTAATGAACATGAATGATATGGTATATGGCTTTTAGTGAACATGAGTAATGTGGCATATGACATTTAATGAACATGAACAATGTGGCATATGACATTTAATGAACATGAGTAATGTGGCATATGATATTTAATGAACATGAGTAATGTGGCATATGACATTTAATGAACATGAGTAATGTGGCATATGACATTTAATGAACATGAGTAATGTGGCATATGACATTTAATGAACATGAGTAATGTGGCATATGACATTTAATGAACATGAGTAATGTGGCATATGACATTTAATGAACATGAGTAATGTGGCATATGACATTTAATGAACATGAGTAATGTGGCATATGACATTTAATGAACATGAGTAATGTGGTATATGGCTTTTAATGAACATGAGTAATGTGGCATATGACATTTAATGAACATGAGTAATGTGGTATATGACATTTAATGAACATGAGTAATGTGGTATATGACATTTAATGAACATGAGTAATGTGGTATATGACATTTAATGAACATGAGTAATGTGGTATATGACATTTAATGAACATGAGTAATGTAGTATATGACATTTAATGAACATGAGTAATGTGGTATATGACATTTATTGAACAATAGTAATGTGGTATATGACATTTAATGAACATGAGTAATGTGGTATATGACATTTAATGAACATGAGTAATGTGGCATATGGCATTTAATGAACATGAGTAATGTGGTATATGGCATTTAATGTACATGAGTAATGTGGTATATGACATTTAATAAACATGAGTAATGTGGTATATGGCATTTAATGAACATGAGTAATGTGGTATATGACATTTAATGAACATGAGTAATGTGGTATATGGCATTTAATGTACAGGAATGATGTGGTATATGGCATTAAATGAACATAAAAAATGTGGCATATGACATTTAATGAACATGAGTAATGTGGTATATGACATTTAATGAACATAAGTAATGTGGTATATGACATTTAATGAACATGAGTAATGTGGTATATGACATTTAATAAACATGAGTAATGTGGTATATGGCATTTAATGAACATAAGTAATGTGGTATATGACATTTAATGAACATGAGTAATGTAGTATATGGCATTTAATGTACATAAGTAATGTGGTATATGACATTTAATGAACATAAGTAATGTGGTATATGACATTTAATGTACATGAGTAATGTGGTATATGACATTTAATGTACATGAGTAATGTGGTATATGACATTTAATGTACATGAGTAATGTGGTATATGACATTTAATGTACATGAGTAATGTGGTATATGACATTTAATGTACACGAGTAATGTGGTATATGACATTTAATGTACATGAGTAATGTGGTATATGACATTTAATGTACATGAGTAATGTGGCATATGACATTTAATGAACATGAGTAATGTGGTATATGACATTTAATGAACATGAGTAATGTGGTATATGACATTTAATGAACATGAGTAATGTGGTATATGACATTTAATGAACATGAGTAATGTGGTATATGACATTTAATGAACATGAGTAATGTGGTATATGACATTTAATGAACATGAGTAATGTGGTATATGACATTTATTGAACATGAGTAATGTGGTATATGACATTTAATGTACATGAGTAATGTGGTATATGACATTTAATGAACATAAGTAATGTGGTATATGACATTTAATGAACATGAGTAATGTGGTATATGACATTTAATGAACATGAGTAATGTGGTATATGACATTTAATGAACATAAGTGATGTGGTATATGACATTTAATGAACATGAGTAATGTGGTATATGACATTTAATGAACATGAGTAATGTAGTATATGGCATTTAATGTACATAAGTAATGTGGTATATGACATTTAATGAACATAAGTAATGTGGTATATGACATTTAATGTACATGAGTAATGTGGTATATGACATTTAATGTACATGAGTAATGTGGTATATGACATTTAATGTACATGAGTAATGTGGTATATGACATTTAATGTACATGAGTAATGTGGTATATGACATTTAATGTACATGAGTAATGTGGTATATGACATTTAATGTACATGAGTAATGTGGTATATGACATTTAATGAACATAAGTAATGTGGTATATGACATTTAATGAACATGAGTAATGTGGTATATGACATTTAAAATACATGAGTAATGTGGTATATGACATTTAATGAACATAAGTAATGTGGTATATGACATTTAATGAACATGAGAAATGTGGTATATGACATTTAATGTACATGAGTAATGTGGTATATGACATTTAATGAACATAAGTAATGTGGTATATGACATTTAATGTACATGAGTAATGTGGTATATGACATTTAATGTACATGAGTAATGTGGTATATGACATTTAATGAACATGAGTAATGTGGTATATGACATTTAATGTACATAAGTAATGTGGTATATGACATTTAATGAACATACGTAATGTGGTATATGACATTTAATGAACATGAGTAATGTGGTATATGACATTTAATGAACATGAGTAATGTTGTATATGACATTTAATGAACATGAGTAATGTGGTATATGACATTTAATGAACATGAGTAATGTGGTATATGACATTTAATGAACATGAGTAATGTGGTATATGACATTTAATGTACATGAGTAATGTGGTAAATGACATTTAATGAACATGAGTAATGTGGTATATGGCATTTAATGAACATGAGTAATGTGGTATATGACATTTAATGTACATGAGTAATGTGGTATATGGCATTTAATGAACATGAGTAATGTGGTATATGACATTTAATGAACATGAGTAATGTGGCATATGACATTTAATGAACATGAGTGATGTTGTGTATGGCATTTAATGAACATCCTGATGGTCGCATTCGACAATGAGTAAACATCAATGCTTGTCAAAGAGGACATTTAATGAACATTACTGATGGTCAAATATGACAATAAACTAAACATATTTTATAATCATCATCATCATCTTCATCATCATCAAGCATCGTCATCAGTCTGTATTGTGCCTTTTAGAACGTTGCTCATATCAAGGCCTCGCTGAACGTATTCTCGAAGCCTTTCTCAGCATAATTTTTTGTCATGCTCAGTGTGTCTTTCATAGCTATGACTGTCGTTTCCTGAATCTTCACCCATGGACAAAGCTTTCCATTGCTGCTCGTTGTAAACTATTTCCGCGACTAACTATGTAATAATCATATAATATGTTCCCAGAGATTTTTTTGGTAAGCTGCAGTGGCTACAATTCTTACCCCGCCATTTGTGAGTGGCTACAATTCTTACCCAGCCCTTTGTGAGTGGTTAAAACTATAGCTTTTTCGATTGTTATGTTGTCTAGCGTGTAAATCAACGATACGTTTTCTTCTTCTTCAGACTTACGTTCCTTAAAAAAAAATTCATATATACCGCTTCAGACGGCTTTAGGTGAGATACAAGGTACTTCTTCTTGCCCCTCTACTGCTTGTTAACCCATAGACCATCATTTTCTGGTTTTGCACTGTGATAAAGCATTTCTGCTAGATTGTCCCAATCCTTTCTTTTAAAAACTATGGTGGGAGGGAGAATCTTCAGATATTTTCGTAATAGTGCAGCAACGTCAATCGGTTTCAGTTAAACTGAGATGAACGTTACTTGAATTCAATATGGTGGTACAATTTCCCTATTATCTTGTTCAGCTTTGTTAAACACTACCATAATACCGCAATGTATATTTCACTGACACACCTCTCAAATTCAATAAACTTCACCGTCACACGTCTTATTCTTGCTTCTTCTTTACTTCTTCCATTCTTCTTCCTTTCTCCCTTCCATTTTTATATCTTATTTTTTTCCGTCTTTTGTCTTTCTTCCTTCTTTCTGCCTTCACTTTCCTCACATACTTTCTCAGTGACAAACTTAATGCTTACTTTTTTCTGAGATTCGTTAACCTTGAAAAAATTCGTTTATGTTGGTACAATCCTTCCATATTCTTCTTCTTCAGCTTCTTGTTAACACTTCCATAATACCGCTTCTTATCTTCTTCTTCTTCTTCCTCTTCTAAATTCTTCTTCTTCTTTCACCGTCTCTTCTTCTTTCTTCTTCTTCTTCTTCTTCTTCTTCTACTTCTTCTTCTTCTTCTTCTTCTTCTTCTGCTTCTTCTTCTTCTTCTTCTTCTTCTTCTTCTCTTTCTTCTTCCTTGTCGTCGTCGTCTTCTTCTACTTCCTCTTGACTTCCTCTTTGACTACTTTGGTTGTCGAGGGAGATATAAGGCTTTGATTCCTGCTCTTCTGGCAGCCTCGACCTCAGAGAAATCGTGCTGTTGTAGAGTTTCTTTGATCTTATCTTTTCATCTTATTCTTGGTCTATCTTGGGCTCTACATCCTTCTCCTCTTTTAGTGTATACTTTGTACAGTATAGAATCACAAGCCATTCTCCCTTAGTGGCCAACCCATTTGACCCGCTGTCTATGTTTGTCATTGAGAATTAGTTCCGTGTCACACATTTAGACTACGGGCAAACTTCAAGCACCTACCTTTTGATTGTGATAATACTCATCCAGATCTTCCAAAGGTTTTCCGATAAATTCCGGAGGAATGTCTTCCAGCGAAGGAGGCAACTTTCTGCCAGCTTCAAGCTTGAGGTTGGGTTTGAGGTGCTCCTCGTGTCGGCTTTCCCCTTCCAGATCGTCATCATCCTCTTCTGATTCTGGCTTGGTTTTCTCTGCACGCTGTTACACAGCGATAGACAGAGCAGGAGACAATCTCAGACCATTTCCAATAATTAAAAAAACAAAAAACAAAAACATAGGAGGGGCACTACAGAGTCAGAAAAGTTTGTATAATATCAATAATGAACTAGAAGAAAGACACAAAATTTCATAAGCTATACCAAACAGTAACGGGGATAAAAGGTTTCCTTTCAATTTAAGCTGCAAACCAGTCACTTAAGCCATCATCCGTTGGCACTGCAGACTCTGAACCTTGATACATTGCTATAATAATGTTTATTATTTTTATTGGTATGCCATAGCATTCCGAAATTAGTCACAGTGATGATTCTGTGTAAACTATTAAAAACCTTCTTTAAGTCATGAATTTCAAAATAATGTTGAGTTATTTTTCCACAAAGTCCTCTAAAATATATTAGTTAGTTTTTCGACAGATTTATCCTTATTGCACCTCGAACCATTTAGTCTATAAGTGCTTGCATACCCTCCTCAAAAAATCTGGCAGCGTGTAGCGGCTGACGACACCAGTTCTGTGTTAGTTTCTTGTTCTTCGTTGGCTTTCTGCATAGTGCTCTCATAGCGCTATTCTTGCAGTCTGGTCATGGTTGTAGATTTGGTCATATCACGTTGTTCTCGCAAGCGCCTTACTTCTTGTAAAGATTTCATTATATCAGCATAGTCCATGACTTCTCTGTCCTCCATAGCAGCTTTAACGGCAAACATGACAGCCTGCTCATTTCGAACATGAAACTGATATTTGTCAGCCCTGACGAACACGGAGACTCCAATCACTGTTTTCTGACCCAGCCCTCTCTATTTTCCTCCTCTGAAATAAATCCCAAGGTAATTATTTGATCTAAGCCGTTTCTCCCAGGTCAAACACTTGCTCGTTCATCTCTCTGTATTTTCCCACTTCCCCGTTGATTCTATTAGGAATTATTTAAAAGTGCTGGACATTACTGATATCAAAGTAATTCCTCTCCAGTTGTTAAATCCGTAAGAGAACCTTTCTTCAAAAGTTTAACAATCATTCTTTTCTTCCACAAACATGAGATTTTTTTCCCCTCTGCCAATATTCTATCAACAAATTTTTTTCCGTTCGGTTTATGGTAAAATCCTCTGTTGCCTTGAACATTTCTTCAATAATTTCATCATCACCTGCCGTCTCTTTGTTGGCCAATGAATGAATTACCTCCCTAACTTCTATTTTCAATTAGAGAATGTGGAGTAATTTTTGGCGCAACAAAAGTGATCTGAGAAATGTTCGTGACAGTCATATAACATGGATATTAATGCTTGATACAATCACACAGCACGGATATTGACATTTGGTACAATCAAAAAGCTGATAATAATGTTTGGTACAACCCTAGAGCTGATATTATTGTTTGGTACAATCACAGAGCTGATATTATTGTTTGGTACAATCACAGAGCTGATTTTAATGCTTGGTACAATTACAGAGCTGATTTTAATGTTTGGTACAATCACAGAGCAATAATATTATTGTCTGGGGCAATCAAATAACCTTGAGAAGTGTTTTAGGTAATCAAAGAGCTCTGGGAAATGTACGCGACAACCAGAAAGCTTTGAGAAATGTGTGGGACAATATAGAGCACGTGTTAGAAAGACTGGGCATTAAAAAATGGTTTGATGATAGTAAAAACTTGGAACAATACAAATAATCACAGTAGGCGGTTAATGTAGGCGACGTATCTTGATTCAAGTGAAACAGACCGGATCCTTTTCCCGGAACTAAAGATTGTTTCGTTATTATGAGGCCGTGGTGTAGTATAGCCCAAGCAAAGGCAGGAGTTTATAAAATGAAGAATATTTGATAGAATCTTTCTTTTTTACCGATAACCCACATTAAAAAGAGACAATATGTATTCTTTAGTCGTGTTTTGAGACAAGGAAAACTGGAGTACATCGTGACAGTAAAAAGTTGGAGGGGAAAAAAGGCAGAGGGAAACCGAGTGAGAAGATGCTGGCTGACATCATGGCATAGAAGTTCATCTGTGCAATTCTGATTGAAAGTACACGAGACAGAAGGTTGTGAAGAGGCATGGTCGTCTCCTCCCGTTTAAAAAACATTTGGTAATGACAGCGGTGGTGATATGATGGCTGGCTAACTTTCTGGGTTGCCAGTGCAGTGATCTAAAGTTTCAATCCGTTATTTGTCCAGACTTTACAGCTAGTACTGCTCCGAGGTCGATAAAGTCTCGTAAAATTAGTGCCTGAAAAAGCAAAGACGCCTGGGACGAGAGCCGATAATTCCATCTACATACCAGAATGACCCAGTTTTCGGGAACAAATCGTTGTCTACATTCTGGGGAGCCATGAGATTAGCGTTATCGTCTTTGTTGAGACGTTCTTTCTATTGACATTCTTTCTATTGACGTTCTTTCTATTGACGTTCTTTATATTGACATTCTTTCTATTGACGTTCTTTCTATTGACATTCTTTCTATTGACATTCTTTCTATTGACATTCTTTCTATTGACATTCTTTCTATTGACATTCTTTCTCTGACATTCTTTCTATTAATATTCTTTCTATTGACATTCTTTCCATTGACATTCTTTCTATTGACATTCTTTCTATTGACATTCTTTTTATTGACGTTTTTTCTATTGACATTATTTCTATTGACATATTTTCTATTGACGTTCTTTCTATTGATGTTCTTTCTATTGACGTTCTTTCTATTGACGTTCTTTATATTGACTTTCTTTATATTGACGTTCTTTCTATTGACATTCTTTCTGTTGACATTCTTTCTATTGACGTTCTTTCTATTGACATTCTTTCTATTGACATTCTTTCGATTGACATTCTTTCTATTGACATTCTTTCGATTGACATTCTTTCTATTGACATTCTTTCTATTGACATTCTTTTTATTGACATTCTTTCTATTGACATTCTTTCTATTGACGTTCTTTCTATTGACGTTCTTTCTATTGACATTCTTTCCATTGACATTCTGGACAGGGGAAGGACTAGTGCCCAAGGTAGACCAAAAACAAAATCAGAAGTTCTACAATACGATGTGTCTGCTGTCGAAACGGCCGAAAGGGAAAGAAGCAGAAACTCGTATCTAACTCGACACCCGAAATGGTAAAAGAGGAAATAAAAAAGAAGAAGAAGATGTTCTTGATGTTATCATGAACGTATTCTAGTATCAGTGTTGCCTGGTCATAGCTGTTTGTATGTATGACTCTTCAGGCATCGATAAGTCGAACGGTCATATTGAATGTTTGTTTGCTTGCACAAGTTGTGTTTGCGAACTTTGCTGCACACCGCTCTCTCTTCTTTTTAGGACTGAATGTTAAAGGAAGTCCATTATGCCTTTGTGTCAAAGTTACAACAATCTTCAAAAACCTAAACAAAACACCGAGCTCATAGTTACACAGCTTTTGGACCAAACTAGAAATCTTCAATTTTAATGCTATTTCCTTTTTAACATATTCTAGCGAAATGTAAAGAACCACTAAAGATATACAAGGAAAATTAAATGCATTTGAAAATAAATATCTGAGAAAAATCACGAACATAAAATGGGATGAAAAAAAAAAAAAAAAAAATAAAATAAAAATAAAAAGGGTGAACAGATCAGAGAAATGTCTGGCGAAACACCTGTTCGGACTGCAAACAGACAAAGATGGTGGAGATATATAAAGCACACTCTGAGACTAAATGGGAAAATAAATACAAAACACGCTGCAGTGAGAAATGAACGGTATGAGGAACAGAGTACGTCCAAGGAAAACATGAAGAATAATATAATTACGAGAGGCTAAAAATGCTGGGCCAAACTTCGGGTCAGAAATCGAGCAAGTTAGATGCAATAGAGTGGAGTGGAGAAAGTTAGATGTAATAGAGTGGAATGGAGAAAGTTAGATGCAATAGAGTGGAGTGGAGAAAGTTAGATGCAATAGAGTGGAGTGGAGAAAGTTAGATGCAATAGAGTGGAGTGGAGAAATCGAATACTAGCCCTAGGTGACCTCCAACGGAAAACAAAGGATGATGATGATGGTGATGATCCTCTGTGTGGGTTCCGGGATCCTTTTTGGGGAGGAAAAGAACAGATCCAGTGCCCTGTAACATTATGTCTTATTTGGGCGACCAATTATGGGTTTGCTAAAACCGAACGTGTTGGGCCAAAAGTGACGGATTTCGCCGACTTGCTGTAAACCACAAAAATGCTTGCAAACTGTCCCCGTGAAAGCGAACGCAGAAACAGAAAAACAGCCACATTTATTGTGAAGTTGCTAGAGACGAGTAGAATCGCAGTGGTGGGTATGATTTTCACATCCTTCCCTCCCCTATGAGTGCCGATTGGTTTACCAGATATGTCCAGAAGTATAGGCCCAGTATGTCGGGTTATCCCCAGTTGATAATACAAAAATGAAGGTTTATGAGTCTTGTGTCCTGAGCACATTACTGTACGGCTGCGAATCCTGGACTCTCTATGCTCCACAGGAAAAAAGACTGAATACCTTCCATATGCGCTGTCTGAGACGCATCCTTGGTATATTATGGCGAGACCTTGTCTCCAACGAATGTGTGCTCACAAGAGCAAAAATACCATCAATGTATTGTATACTGAAGCAAAGACGTCTGCGCTGGCTGGGACATGTCTCCCGCATGGAGGATGGTCGTATTCCAAAAGATCTCCTATATGGTGAATTGGTAACTGGGAATAGACCTACATGAAGGCCAAAGCTGCGCTATAAAGATGTATGCAAACGTGACCTAATAGATACCAACATAGGCACAGAGACATGGGAAAAATCAGCTGCAGATCGACTACTATGGAGACAGAAAGTGAAAGACGGACTGTCACATTTTGAAAGAAACCGAACACAATGAGCTGTGGAGAGGAGACACCGGAGAGTAAAACTGCCTCACAACGAGGGAGTATCTGCTTTTGTGTGTATCCTGGGTGGCAAAGGCTGCCATTCCCGCATCGGACTTTACAGTCACAGCAGATGCTGTTCCCAAAGCCAGCGGCACATCTCCATAGTCCCCCGGGACTGACGGATGCCATTAATAGGCCCAGTACACATGAAGTCGTGATAAAGGGTACAACTGACCAGAGACCACGAAAAAGTGAACTGGTATGAAGAGGCAGTGGTCAGTGAACTGGTATGAAGAGGCAGTGGTCAGTGAACTGGTATGAAGAGGCAATGGTCAGTGAACTGGTATGAAGAGGCAGTGGTCAGTGAACTGGTATGAAGAGGCAGTGGTCAGTGAACTGGTATGAAGAGGCAGTGGTCAGTGGACTGGTATGAAGAGGCAGTGGTCAGTGAACTAGCATGAAGAGGCAGTGGTCAGTGGACTGGTATGAAGAGGCAGTGGTCAGTGAACTGGTATGAAGAGGCAGTGGTCAGTGGACTGGCATAAAGATGCAATCATGACACTGGAGATACACTGAACGTAAAAATATGTGCATCACTGGAATTCTAACCGGTGGCTTGGGTTGTGGTTGGAGCCACCTTCTCTCTAAACAAATCGCTATAGGGTAATCCTTATTAATAATAAAGAAACAAAAATAATACAAGCTGAATCTTCTACAGGATGAAATAAATATAATCAGAGAGAAAGAGAGAGATATAGAGATAAAAAGAGAGAGATATTTAAAGAGATAAAAGAGATACAGAGATAAAGAGATAAAGAGAGAGATAAAGAGAGAGATAAAGAGAGAGATAAAGAGAGAGATAAAGAGAGAGAGATAAAGAGAGAGAGATAAAGAGAGAGAGATACAGAGATAAAGAGATACAAAGAGAGTGAAAAAGAGATAAAACGAGAGCTAAAAAGATAAAGAGAGAGATAAAGAGATAAAGAGAGAGATAAAGAGATAAAGAGAGAGATAAAAAGAGAGAGAAAGAGAGAGCGAGATAAAGAGATAAAGATAAATAGAGAAAGATAAAGAGAGAGATACAGAGATAAAGAGATAAAAAGAGAGTGAAAAAGAGATAAAGCGAGAGCTAAAGAGATAAAGAGAGAGATAACGAGAGAGAGAGATAAAGAGAGAGAGAGATAGAGAGAGAGAGATAAAGAGAGAGATAAAGAGATAAAAAGAGAGATAAAGAGAGAGATACAGAGATAAAGAGATAAAAAGAGAGTGAAAAAGAGATAAAGCGAGAGATAAAGAGATAAAGAGAGAGAGATAAAGAGAGAGATAAAGAGAGAGAGATAAAGAGATAAATAGAGAGATAAAGAGATAAAGAGAGAGAGAGATAAAGAGATAAAGAGAGAGAGATAAAGAGATAAAGAGATAAGAGAGAAAGCTAAGAGAGAGATAAAGAGATAAAGAGAGAGAGATAAAGAGATAAAAAGAGAGAGAGATACAGAGATAAAGAGAGAGAGAGACAGAGAGAGACAGAGAGACACAAGACTGAGCGAGAGTTAATTAAAAAAGAAGAAACTAATAATTCAGACCATCAATTTTTGTTTACATGATAATGATAACAATGAGAGAAGGAGAGAGAGAGAGAGAGAGAGAGAGAGAGAGAGAGAGAGAGAGAGGAGAGAGAGAGAGAGAGAGAGAGAGAGAGAGAAACAATGGGAGAGAGAGGGGGAGAGAGGAGAATTACAGATAAAAAGATTTCGATAACGCAACAAACAAATACAATACACACCTTTGCTGCTTCCTCCTCGGCAATGCGCCGTTCGATATTAAACAAAGACTCCCTGGTAAATGGCCGAAACGGTGTCCATTCTACAAAGTCTTCATCCATTTTCTGCTGTTACTGCTGCCTGATACGGTCCATGCGTGCCCTAGGAAGACAGTGTCGTTATTGTCAACATTATCATCATCATCGCTGATCTGACTACATCAAAATTATCAGGATTATTATCACCACTTGCTTGCTACATACATCCAGTTTTAACATATGGCTGTGAATCCTGGACAATCGGTAAAAGTAAAGAAGTACATATTTTAAAGCAACATATCATATTCTACGGCTATGTTGCTTTACAGCTACGTTACTTCGCAGCCATGTTATTTCACAAGCATGTCACTTCACGGCCATGTTACTTTACAGCTGTGTTATTCACAGCCACGTTGCTTTAAGCCACGTGGCTGTAAGGCCGTATTCTTCAGCTTGTGTTCCACCACCTAGTGCCGCCCTGGGGAAGGTTAACGGTGGTCCACCACCTGGTGCCGCCCTGGAAAAAGTTAACGGTGGCAACCACCTGGTGGTGCCGCCCTGGGGAAAGTTAACGGTGGTCCACCACCTGGTGCCGCCCTGGATAAAGTTAACGGTGGTCCACCACCTCGTGCCGCCCTGGATAAAGTTAACGGTGGTCCACCACCTGGTGCCGCCCTGGGGAAAGTTAACGGTGGCCACCACCTCGTGGCGCCGCCCTGGGGAAAGTTAACGGTGGTCCACCACCTGGTGCCGCCCTGGATAAAGTTAACGGTGGTCCACCACCTCGTGCCGCCCTGGATAAAGTTAACGGTGGTCCACCACCTGGTGCCGCCCTGGATAAAGTTAACGGTGGTCCACCACCTCGTGCCGCCCTGGATAAAGTTAACGGTGGTCCACCGCCTGGTGCCGCCAAGGGGAATGTTAACAGTGGTCCACTACCTAATGCTGCTCTGGGGAAAGTTAAAGGTGGTCCACCACCTGGTGCCGCCGTGGAGAAAGTTACCGGTGGTCCACCAAAGATGTCCACCTAATGCAGAGGTTCTCAACCTGCCGGTCGTGACCCATTTTTGGTCTGAAAGTAAGAAGATAAGGATGGCTTGGATACATCTGCGGAGTGCCCTGTAACACTGTGGCAAGGGAAGTTCTTCGATGAACGGTAGATGGAAAATGGAAACCTGGGCTACTTAGGAAAAACATGGAAGACAGTAGAGAGAAGAAATGAAGAAAAGCAAAATTACATAGGCAAAAAAGCAGAATGCTAGCAATGAAGACAGCTCTTAAATTCCTTACGTTAGTTAGTTAATTACTTAGTCGACAGATTGTTCTCATTTCTCATCGAACCATTCAGTCCATATGTGCTCACATCCCATCCTAAGTAAAACCCGCAGCGTGGAACGGCTAATGACTTCCGCCCAGTGTTGGTTTCTTACACGTCCGGCTGGATATAAATTTGGAGCTGGCCGTGGTTTCTTATTCTTCTCTGGCTTCTTGTACAGTGTTCTTGTCTGGCCACTTCCCCTTTAACACATTGTTCTTGCAGTCTGGTCATGGTTCCAGATTCATAGTCATCACTTAGTTCTCGAAAACGCTTTACTCTTCGTAGAGCCTCCAGAATATCAGCCTGGTTCATGGATTGACCTTCTTCCACAACAGCTTGACCTGCAAGCCTATCAGCTTGCTCTTTTTCTTTTACGCATGCATGACCTAACAAACATATGAAACTGATTTTCGTTAGCCTTGGACCACTATAAACGCTCCCAGTCGCTGCCTTTGGATCCTGCCTATCTCTATCTTCCTGAGCACACTTGAATGCCTTATGTGTCAACAGTGACACCAGATGTAGATGGATACTGTATATATGATATACTCCCATATACGCAACATATGTGTAACTGTGAAATATGGAAAAGAAAGAAGGCAAATGGAGAAACGATTCAGTGCTATCTTTTGGCCCAGCCAATCTATAGCATTGATGCTCGTTAAGAGAGGTTTTCGCACTTCGATGGCAGCGGGGAGGTGCTCCATTTGTGTTAGTTGCGTACCCTTTACAGGACGTTGCAGAACCAATTTGTGTGTGTGTGTGTGTGCGGCTGTGGTGGTTTTTTTCAGTAGTTGATTACTGCTCCTCAACGGTCAGCACTCGGTACCACTGTCGAAACCAACGCAAGACAGACCATCTGAAGTTGGAATCGAACCTGGTTCCCCAGGCATTGCGAAGTCTGGAATAAAACACATCCTCCCCAAATCTCTCTTGAAACCGTAAATTCAAAGTGAACATAGATGTCAAAGCTGCCTTTTATATTAAGTAAAGTAAAATAAAGGACCCTTTTCCGCGTCTTCAGACGTACTGGGTATATAGGGCTAGACCTATATTTTATTGACTAATCGACACTCAGTTGGGGATATGAACGAACGAACGAACGAACGAACTTTATTTTCAAAGGGTTAAATTAGGCACGCAGGCCTGTCTTACATTCGGCCCTTCCAAACTCTCATCTTTCATACAGCAGTTGTATTTCATCAATAAAGCATGTAATGTTCATGTAATAATATGCATACTATAAATATCAAGTCAAAAACAAAAGCATTAGTGGTAAAATATGTGCGCACGCTCGCGCGCAAACACACACACCAACATACACACGCAAACCCATTCACTCACACATACACACATATAGGCACCCAACACACACACATCCACATACATACGAACATTCACACACACATCCACATACATACGAACATGCACACACACACACACACACGCATACACGCACGCATACACGCACGCATACACGCACGCATACACGCACGCATGCACGCACGCATGCACACATACACGCACGCATACACGCACGCATACACGCACGCATTCACGCACGCACGCGCGCACGTGCGCACGCACGCAGGCAGGCAGGCAGGCACGCAGACACGCAGGCACGCACGCACACACACGCGCACGCACGCACGCACGCACGCACACACACACACACACACAAACACACACACACAGACACAGACACACACACACACACACACGGACGGACGGACGGACGGACGGACGGACGGACGGACAGACAGACAGACAGACAGACAGACATACACACACACACACACATACATACATTCATACACACTGTCACCCACACAGACATGCGTTCTAAAACACACATACAACCCAGACACATATAGACACACACAGCTATATACACACACACACACATACATACACACACGTGTCGCACAAAAAGACCTATACAAACACACACGTCTGACGCACACATAAACCCACACAGACACACACACACACATACACACACGTAGCTGCACAAAAAGACCCATTCAAACACACACCGTTATGGCCAGCATCAGCCGACCACCTTTACTTCCAAGGACTGTATCCACTTATGGCTGGATTGACCTAGGAGCCAAGGTCATTTTTGAAAAAAAAAGCACAGACCCTGTCAGGACCCGAACACCCGACCTTTCGATTCGCGGGCGAGCGTCTAGTCGCTAGACCACGGCGGCTCCCTGCCTTTTGTATTACAATGTAATTTTACTATGTTTTCAGTTGCAGCTGTTCTTGCTGCCAGGATGAGATGTCTGTTTAATGAACCGATGAGCACTCCATAGAAATAGGGCAGAGCCCTAAGGCAGCACAGTGTTGAGTCGAGTGTCCACCAGACTGAAGATCTTGGCTTCTAAATAGATTTTTTTTTTAAAGTTAAAAGTCGAGAGAACCGACTTCCTTGCACCGAGATATCACATATAGCCCAGTCACTCTCTGTAGAACGGCTAGTCGACCACCGGGGTTTCACATAAAGCACGAACTCACAGCTCCAGTGAGGATCCCTACAGATCACCATAAAAACTGCAATCGTGAACTAAACGACGCGTCCGTTAAACCAACTCACTAACTTCAGAGCGCCAGAAAAACGGTTGGACCCATTTCGCCTCGCAAGGTTATATCAAGGATATGGATAACTGGCGTCAGGGCGACTTTGCCTAAATGGATACGAGGAAATGTCTTGGGCAGCCAAGTCAGCCGGTATGATATTAACAACCCCGAGGTCCGATTGATGTATAAGATATAGGACCTTTACCTGGCTGACTTTACCACAGAAGATGAAAGACATGAAGATCAGGAAGCTATCGAAACTTGTTGGAACCACAACAGGATTTAAACTCCGCCTCCTGCAGACGACAAAGCCTCGCTGAAGGAAAAAGTGCATTGGCATACGGCCAGCTAGACAATGATTCGTTAACAACCTCATTAATATTGATCTTCCGTGGAAATCAAGTCGTTCCAGTGTTTTCCAGACAATATATTGCCACTAATGAGTTTTATCGCTGGACTGTCTGTTCTCCAAGCTCTCAGAGACAACAAGCACTCAGAACTATAAGATCTACTGTCATAGATAAATCAACAGTCTAGAACTATTGTACTATAGATCCACCCTTTCGTTGTAGGCTAGGGAACGCGGAGAAAGTTTATACATTAGCCAAAGGAGGCGCCAGGGAAAAAATTGGTCTTTTCAATCATATATTCATTGTCTAGATTTTACCCCTCCCCCCAAATGTTTTTAACGGTAAAACTACAATAAGAGTGTTTTTTTGCCGACCATTCTGTTTCAGACATTTCATTGTGTGATTCTGAGACCCAGACAGCATTAAAAACACTGGCTCAGGCTGACGCCAGTAGCGTCAGGAGACATCGACGCAGACTGTCCGACAGTGGAAAATACTATTTTCCATTTTTCCTGCACATCACCAACAATATATGTATATATATTTTCTAAATTCCAAGTCATGTGGCTTCGGTAATCATGTTTATTTAAATTTGTCTAATCTGTTGCTGCTGTTGTTACTGCTGCTTTTGCTAGTGTGTCGTCAACGTTGTCTTCTTCTTCTTCTTCTTCTTCTTGTTCTTCTTCTTCTTCTTCTTCTTCTTGTTCTTCTTCTTCTTCTTCTTTCTTCTTCTTCTTCTTCTTCTTCTTCTTCTTCTTCTTCTTCTTCTTCTTTTTCTTTTTCTTTTTCTTCTTCTTCTTCTTCTTCTTCTTCTTCTTCTTCTTCTTCTTCTTCTT